ACATAAAATTATTAAGCAAATAAGATAATCTAAATATTGAAGGATTCAGTGTCTTAACTCCATGAAATTATAAATCTAAGAGAAACCCTTTGGCTAGTAATGTGATGTGTCACACACATGCTGTGAAAGTTTATTGTCATTCTCTCATACCAGGCAATTCTATTTTACGCAGCATTGTTTGAATGTGTTCCCTTCTTCTTAACAGTAAGATGGAAACAAAGAATGAAATCTAAATAGCCTTTCACCACTGCAGTGTACCATGTAGTAGATTAATGGACAGTATCATGAAAGGGAGAAGATTTAATTCCAGCAAATTCAGGAAATTTACATACTGGTGCCAAGGATTTTTCCTCTTCCAAAAGTATGTACAAATGCCATCAACCTCTTGGAGTAGCTCTGCTCTGGCTGGAGACAGTGACACTGATTTGGTGGAAAAGTTTTGTGAATCAGTGTAACATCTGTGACAAGTGGTCACTGCCACATACTTCAGAGAGAGCTTCAATTAAAATAGACTGGACAATTATTGAATAACTTTATATATCAGGTGGACTTTAATTTACTATTAGTTAATACCTCATATAAAGTAAAAAATAATGGGAGGAGGAAACTCTTCTTGAAAAAAAGTAAGTTGTGTGAGAAGTGTGCAGACCCTCAGGTTATCTCAACAAGAAGTATGCCAAATGATAAGTGAGGAGGGCATTGGGAGGAGAAAGTAGTTTGAGAATGAAGTCAAATCGGAAAGCTTGTTTTGTGGAAACTGTGGAGATCAGTGGAGAAAATGTCCCAGCTTCCTTGTTATGGCCAATTTGCAGTTTTAATAAAAAAATAATAAATTAAGATGGTGACTGCTAAGAAAGCGAGTTTGATCACAATTTGTGGAGGTCTAATGTTGAACCGCTAAGGCTAAGGAAATGCAAACGCATTATATGAGCAAAGTCTCTGAGAGCTAGACTGCCAGGTTTAGGGGACATGTGAGCAGGAGAAAGGACTGAGGGTTAGGAGTGCTGAGAACACTTCAGGCAGCTCCTTCAAGGAGAGACTGGACACCAGTCTTGAAGTACAAAATCTGGGAGCCTGAGGGATTTATTGCTCTGCAATTAGCAATGAAGGAGGAAAGACATATAGAGGAGGTGGTGAAGAATAACTTTTGTTGGGGTGAATTACATCAGGGAGTCTCCAGCAGATACACCTGGGATGAAACAAACTGTCCTTAAAGAATGAATGGAATTATTCTCGAAAGAAAAAAAAAAATCTACTAGAATGAGGAATGAGCATGCTGGGGAGGGGATAAAATCTCAAGCATGGTATAAAGCCAGAGTTCAACCAGAGTGCCTCAAAGCCAGCATAATTAGGTTGCTTTAGCCCTTTTATAGATCCTCACTGGCCTTCTAACTGAAAATCAAAGTAGTACAGGTCCCTTCTACAGACAAAACCTAAGTAACTCTTACCAGTTGGAAGCTGTACAGCAGGGCTCTGGTCTTACCTGGTAATGTACTCCCCAAACTGGTTTTCCTACTGAACAAAGAAATGTTGGGAAAGCATGCTCTGATGGTCTTCATCTGCTTATGCAAAATTTTTGATGGGCAATTGCACTCGTTATGTTTATAGCACATGCACTCTGTGATTTTTTTTTCTTTAGTGAGAAGTCAAGATGCAAGCAAATGGCGATTTATTACCATTTGGTAAGCATACAACAAAACAAAATGTTTGCAGAGATTTGAGATACTGGATTTGTGGTTGTACTTCTTAAACAGAAGGCTTTTGAGTGTGCTTTGTTATCTTTTCAGTTTTTGTCATATAGGGAATTTTTTTTTTACAAAGTTAGTTTAAATTTGGTACATGTTCCCTGTAATGTGAGTACTAGTTTGTGCAAATCTACAATTTTGTATGTGCTAGATGAGCAATTGCAGAGTATGTTACTGTGAAGACTGCTTCAGTTGTTCAAAGGAGGTGTTTGTTACACAGTCAGCAGTGTGGGTAATAACTGCTCCTACATTATTGTTTGAAATATGGTGAAGCTATTAATGAGACTTGATTAGATATTTCAGTTCGCTGTTTATCTGGGAACAATTCCAATACTCAAAAAGGCAAGAAATTTTAAAAAGGAAAAAAAAGGTAGCTGAAATCTGCAGTAATCACTTGACTTAAGGAGCTAGGTCTTTTAGAAAACCAAAAGGTTTGTGTTTGCTTCCCAGGATTATTGTGCAGACTCTTTTGAACATGTTCCACATAGTAAATCAAACTGTGGAAGGCAAAGCTAGAAATTTCCCAGTTACATTGATTTAAAATCATATATGTATACAGCTTCATATGAAGTATTTAGCAGCCTCAGCAACACTGCTGACAGGCTCAGTATGAAACATTAAGGTAAAAGTATTTAAGAAAAAAATCAATTTTAAGGTCACCAGAGAAGGTCTTACCAAAGTACAGTGCTTTGCTTTGTCTCTGATGTCTAGCAAGAATTTGACTGAGGAGTGTTTCTTGATCCATCCTGAAGAACAGATTCTTCTTATGCAAATACTGCAAGTCTTACTTGCTCCATATTAATTACTTTTTGGAGTTAAAATAATCAGCTTTTATTATTAAAAGGTTAATCAGCATATGCTGATGTATCAAAAATGATTCTGATATAGGCATTTCTTAAAGAAATAAAAATGTTACAGTATTTGAAGCTAATTTAGCAAGATATGATCTTGCTGCTTCTTATATCAGTTAAGTGCTGTTTATTTATTCACAAAAGCTTCCTTTTATCTCAACTGTTTGCACCTTCCTTAACATTAGTTTAGGTTTCCAGTGGCATTTTCTAGTTTCCAGTTACAGTTCAACTGCTGCTTGGATAAGCTGTGTAACACTCACTCAGATTGTATTGCTCCTCCCCCATTTTGGCATTAGGACATTAGTTTACTTAATAGTCTAGATTTCTAGAAATATATTAGAAAGTGAAATGGAAACTCAGTGGTGAAAAAGATACTAAAAATATACAATTAGCATAGCAATCTTAAGGTATGCGTAAGTATATATAATTCAAATGACGAAAGAATCCTGCAGTACATGAGAGTATCCATAATCAGGTATGTACTTGCATTATAATCCTATTCCTGAAGTGTCGCTTCTGCTAACGATACACACAGATCATGCTTATTTAATGATTTGCTGGCATTTTTTCTCTTTATACATATACAGTATTCCTGGGAAGTCTAAGAGAGCTGCACAAAACATAAGCTGCTACTTGTTTTTTAGAAAATGAACCCAAGCAGGGAACTAACTTCTGTTCATTTTAGTTTTTATCTGTTGCACATTTAGTGTATAGTTTTTGTAGTATATAAAATTAACATATAGTTTAGTATGAACTAAGTAATAGTATATTATGCTTAGTATTATGTTAGTAATATATTTAGTATTAGTATACAGTTTTCTTTCTTATAGGGTGAATATTGCACTATGTATATATGTCCTGTCTAATTTATCTTTATGAAAAATCTACTTTAAAAATGTATATCTATTCTAAAAATCTTCCTCTGTTAATCCAGAAAAAAAAACCCAGGTAAAACACCATCGAACAGAGTTTGTTCCATTGTTTCAAAAATATCTTTTTTTCCTCCTCTAAAATGAAATGAAAATATCTATTGCAATTTTTTGTTACCAACATGGCTCTAAATGCTAAGTAACGTATCACAATTTTGGATGGAGGTCTGTGCAAGCTATACAGCGTATTATGAATAGAAAGGAATAGAAATCTTATTCCCTGGTCTGCATTGTAGTATAGATCTTATTCCTGTATGAAAACCATTTTCATGGGAAAAATTAATATATGCACAGTTCAGAATTGAATGGTCTTATTTCATTCCTGGCATTATCTCAGGCAAATCATTTCACATTCTTAAAAGACCTACAGTGCATCTTTTTAATAACATAAATTCAGGTGGATCATTTAAGAGCTCTGCTTCTTTAGTTTCTGTGTTTGATAGTTGAATGAAACAACAAAAGCATCTTGGAAGCAACTATTTTTTTTACTTTTGCCCCCAGGAATTATTTTATAGCTGATTAAAATATTACATGGCACCATGATTAGGCCCAGCATTTTACATTAATTTGTCTGCAATTTGGGCCTAGCTTTGTCTCCCTACAGTTGCATTGAGGGAAATTAAATGAGGAAACAAAGTTGTGTACTGCACATGTCATTTGCTAATGTGACAAAGGCAGGTGCTGCAAAGTGAATTTTTCAACTCTTCCTTTCCCTGAAAGCCTGGGAACAAGATTGCTTTGTACCTTTTTCAAGCAGTTAAATTTAACTTTTTATGTAAAATCTAAGACTATCATCAGGAAAGACTGTTGCAAATTTCTAAGGCATCTCTATAATTGCAAATACAAAATTCAGCAGAGCAATATTAAATCTAACTTCAGAGTTAAATAAGGTGAATAACAGAATCACAAATACAGACACACACAAACACATTTTATACATGAGCCCTTAAAACTTACACTACTGGCATACACTCATGTGTATGTTTATAATACAGTTATTTTGTCACTTGTATGTTAAGGAAGCGGTTTACTTGCCAGTGATAACATAGGCTGCCTTTTGCTTTTGAATTGAGCTATCACAAAAGCTAGAAACCATGCCCAGCCAGCGTGTAACCAGGGCTGTAAATCTAAATAGGTCAGGTCAGTGTAGTTGGAATAGTTTTTATTTGGTTAACCAGTACAGTTACAGGGCCATCATACAAGGATGGTTAGGCTTCCATCAGAGACAGACATTGCTATGTAATCCTCACGTCATGTGAATGCTCATTCACGTAAGGGAGGGCTTTGACGTTAGCTGGGGAACTGGCGCTCTTCCCAGAAGCAGCAAACCTTTGATTTCATGGCTGAATTATTCTATTACTTTTGTCTATTACTGAGCTCCGCTGAATTGGACAAATCTTATTCATTCATCATGTGTTTGAATGAACGATGACTGTTGTTCGGCTCGTTGTGCAGGTTGTAGTTGGCACTGCTGCTCAGCATGAGATGACCAGCGGGTTAGACAAGGACTGGCAACTCTGCGCCTTCTCCAGAGGCTGGCTTTGTAAGAGTTCACAGGCTGTCAGCTCATGGTAAAGAGTATCTAGGACTTCAAATAGGTGGGCTTTTCCTTTTAAAAGAAAATTGCAAACATTATAATCTAAACAAAGACAGAAAGTTGCAGTTTAACAATCATAACACAAGCTCTTTTCTTCATAGGTGCCATTTCAAGTAATTACCATAAAATGTCTGAATTTTGAGACCAAATAATGAATTCCTATCCTTATAAAAATGCGAGTGGAACTGGGTTCAAGGCCTGTTTTCTCTACTGGTTCTCTTGCTTCATTCACTACCCACTGAGTTCTCATACATACTTGTGTGAACAAAGACTATTTCACGTCACAGTGAAGAGTTGCCAATCCAACCATCCACTTAGTCTTGTCAAAGAGGAAGATGTTTGATTACAAAGACTTAGAAAAGCTGCTTAAATTGTATCAAGTGCACAGACAGAAAATTGAAAGCGGAGAAGATGAGCCATTTATGGCAATGGTGATGCAGAATAGACAGAGCGCTGCACAAGGTTACTTCACTTGTTGGCGTCGTTTTAGGAAGCTGAGCTGTGCTGCAGTTACAGAGAGGGAGGTAATTTGTTTCAGCAGCATCACTTGGAGTCAGTGTTCCTATGCAGGATAAGTAGTAGTACCTTCTGGACACTTGTGTGCTGTGGATACTAACAGTCTCTTCTCTTGTTTTCGCCAGGAGAATATCTGACCTATGGCTCAGATACGGTTTCTCTCTGTGTTGGTGTCCTGGAGCCAACAAAGGTCTGTCTTTGCCTTCTTTTCTCTGCTTCCTCTGCAGCCATGCTGGAACAGCACAGCTTAACTCTGGGCTGCCTGCGCCCTGAATTGCTGGACACTAGTAACAACAAGGCTTTGAAACTCCAAAACCCAGAATGATTTGTATGTTATTCTCCCTAAATCACTGTTAATAATATTCTCCAAAATTAAACCCTCAGGCCACAGCTAGTCTTTTATAATCTTGTCTTTGACTATTGTCTGCCTCTTAAAAGCCCCTCCAAGCCATGTTCTTAGGCTTGTTACAGGATGTTCATTTCTTGCAGGTAAGTACAAATGCTTCGCTAATAGGAACAAAGTAATCAAATCTAAACCTCCAGGCTGTGATCCCTGTATGGCTCCTACAGAGGCAACTCTGGCACACCAGACCATTGTCAAGGGAGAAGAGTTTGCAAGTTTAATTTTCATGAGAGGAACACAAAAGGCTATAATTAGAGGAGTGCAGGTTTGATCTGGTTTCTTTACAGAAATATTCTGTTTTGTATATCTTGTTTGTGTTGCAGCAGAGGAATACAATATGTAGTGGCATAGCAAACCTGATAAATGGGTGTCTTACATACTTGGTCATGTTTTCCACTTTCTCATATCAATGAAGCCCTACAGACATTATTGGGGTACTGAATTGTTGCTGTAAGGCCAAATTTTAATTAAAATTCAGCTAAAAAAAAGCCTTGGATGTGTTCCTGTTTCTGATGTGTCACAGACTAGAAAGCATCACTTTCTATCGGTAATCTTCTTGCATAGTACTTCTTTCTCCCTCGCCTGTCCCCCAGTATTTGAAATATTTTTTTCCTACTCATCTGTTCATTTTCCAGTGTTTTTCCCCAAAGGCCCCTTTTAAGCTTCTTGGTCTTTATACGCAAATTATTTTCTTACCAGGTTGGGGGTCACGGCAGGATTCCAAAGTGCTCAGCAAGATTTTCCCCAAGGCTCGCTTAGATATGTTCTTTAAAAAACAAAATAATATTATGGCACAAATATGTCCTTCCCCAGTTTAAATGTATGCAACAAAATCTATGTGCAGTGGTTTTGCATTTGAAAATTAAAACAAAATGAAACTGAATCCTGATAACACAAGACTTGATATTGGCTATATTTTCAAGCATTTTGTCTTAGATACTGCTCAAATAATATCAGTTTGTGGAGGGCCGCAGTTCCTTAATATGGTTGTAGAAAAAGAAGTAACAGTTTTTCAGTGGAAAATACAGAATTTTCCAGAGTGCGCACCTAAGCAAATCTAGATGACAAGGAGTGTAAGCTTGTTCAGTCCTCTGCTAGGCCTGTGTTGAAAGGTGAATGGACAGACTTTGTGGTGTAATCTCAGAAAGAGGCTTCTCAGACCCAGCTGTTCTAGGAATCATTGGGAACCATTTTAGGTATAAACAAATTAGAAGAGATTGTATGTGTCATGTGGCAGGCCCATTGTTAGTTATATATTGAGATGTAATAAACGTTAGCCAAAGTGAGAGGACTGTAAAAAGTACTTAGGATTTGGATGGTCTTTTTCAGTGGTAGTTTTATATTAGAAATCTGTCAGGGCATTACATAGTGTATCTGGAAAAACAAACTCTCCTAATTTGCTATCAAGACACTAATACATGCTTTCTGGGAGATGGACTTGCAATCTGTTTAATTAGTACTTAGAGCACCCGTATCTGCAGGGACAGGTTGTTCTTGTTAAAACTTCAAGAAGCGAAAATAGATGGAAGCTATTCTGGAAGAAAGACGATGTACCTCCTCCCAGCAGCCCAGGCAACACTGGTCTTGCTTACCGATGCAGGTCATCTACCTTCTGCTTGTCCACCCCAGTGGGAACTGGGGCATAGTGGAAAGCAGTTTGTTGGCAGGCTGGGATTACACAGGACCTCTGCAACACAGTGTGAGGTTTTAATAGTCCTAACAGGACATGCATTTGCCTTTGGACAGTCATTGCTTTGTGGTAGATTCTGTTGCAAATGAGGTGCTTGGGATATTTAAAACATGAAGGTGAACATGCTGGGGAAGTGACACCTAAACCCACCATTTCTGATGAATAAGCTTTCTTTTGTCTGAAGTATATCCCATCAGGGATTTAGGGGATCCTTGCTAAACTCTGCTGGGAATGCTGTAAATTATCTTGTTCATTGACAGCATCATTGCCTGTATTGGTGCTATGGGAGTTGGCAGCACACGGTGGCGTGTTTCCAGCAATGATTAGCATTAAGTGCTACTATCACTGAGATATGGCACATTGTGTGATGGGTTGTCTCCTAAACAGAAATGATTTGCAGTAATACAACTGACCAGCAAATGACATGTTGAAGTCTTGACACAAAAGGTTATTATGCTTGTTGCCAGTCGTAGTCTTTACTAGTTTAATCCTTCACTGGATTGTTATTGATGCATGTGTCAGACTTGCAATATGAAAGCAGAATTTCCATGTCAAGTGCTAAAATAAGTTACCAAATTATGAGATATTGCACTTGTTCCCTAGAGTCACCAGTGGAACATGAGCGTACTTCAAACAAAGTAAAGTGATCATCTGAGGAGGCATTCTCATCTCACACAGGTTATGCAGAGCTTTGCTGAAAATTGAGGAGAACCCTCAGTCATTATCAAAGAAATTAGTTCCTAGCAGTCCAGTGTGGCTCCCAACATACTCCATGTTCTGCAGATTATCCAATCTGCCTGTCTTTTGGGAGTTCTTACCATTATCATTCCCAAGGAGGAGATGTAAGCTTATTTTCTAAAGGACTGAACTACCATACTGGACAGGTACTGGGATGTTATTGCATCAGCTTTTGTAAGTCCATGTTTGGATTATTAATTGGATAAGAAAATTCTTACCAAAAATACCTGTTGGTATACAGGAAGGGATTTTATCCCTTTAATACTGGCTCAGTGTCACGTTAAGATGCAGTTAAACAAAGGCCCTTGTCTAGAAGGAAAAATAATCTTCTAGAATCTTTTCTGATTCCTAGCATTTTTGTTTTCCTTGTTTCCTCTAAATTTTTGTTTAGAGGATAAGGAGAGCTTGGAGATCTAGATCCAAGGAGATCTCTAGGCTTCTTTTAGAAAGCCAGCCATAGGGGTCTAAATGTTTTCTGCAATCACCAGGCAGTTCCCAGGGCAAACACATATAAAAATGTGTCGTGGTGTAAAGGACTTTGTACTTAATAGAAGGTATGAACATCCTTTTTAGTTTGGAAAGGACACTATCAAAACCAGTTCTAAGTCTCTGGACTGCTTTCTTGCCATACCAAGTCTCGAAGTTGTTGAAGAAGCTGTAAAACATCCATGAGCTTTTCTTCCACCAGTGACAGCCTAACTCTCTCAGTCTCCAACATCTGCAGCTCCGTCTTCAACAATTCGGTCTCCTCCACCTTTTGCTGCAATTCACCTAGCAATGGGCCTTTCATCTGGACAATGACACAGGAAATTAAAAGCACTGGAGCTTTTCACTTTCTTGCCCAATAATTGCAAAGCTAAGTTTTCCCCCTTATCTCGTAAATGTCAGTTCACTCCAGAAGATTATCTTGAAAGGAAGTACATTTCTCTAATGTGCTACATAAAGTGAAAAATCAATAGTTGCTAGGAAATGCACGGTTTGCTCTTGCACATAATGGCAGCTCATTTAACACTGGATGCAAGCAGATCATTCAGAAGTTTTAAATACTAGCATTAGTATTTCAGTTTTCTAATCTTTTGCATTCCTGTCATCCTCTATAAAGCGTAACTAATTTGTGTGTCCTCACCAATGTAATCATATCTTTGTCTTGCAACTCCTACATATCAATCATCTGTACATTCAGGGAAACAAGAAAGTAATTAGCTAATTTTTTTAAGGTATTTTGGTTAAAAAAAAAAAAGTGTCTTAAGGAAAAAAACCTAAGATTCTGGTTCTGCAAAACACTGGCATGTGTGCTTTGTAAAGCATTGGTTTGCAGCTAAGCACAGAAAAGTTCAGATTCAACAAGACTTTTGAACACTACAGAAATCCTGGGCAGGAGGGGTCTCCTCAGGTTTATAAATAAAAGTAAACTTCTTTTTCAATCATTACTCTGCTCAGCATTCTGAAATGTTACCATTTTTTTGCAATTTCTTGTTGCAAACACAGTCTAAATATATTTATTAATACTACACCGAGAAACAAAATCGTGAGGTAAATGCCCACATTTTCTGGCTCTGTTAATCCCTTTTTGTTGTCATCTTTTATCTTTATTGTAGTTTTAGAAATAGCTAAGGAAATAGTTGAACTCAAAAAGCTGAAGGCCTTAATATGCACACCATTTAATAGGGATTTTTTTTCTTTTGTGGAAATTTGTATCCTAATAAATTTTAATAGATGGGAAGGAACTTCAGTTCCCTAAAAGACAAGTGTTATCAGACCAAAAAGAGAAAACAATCCCTGATCCACACTGAGCTTCTAGAAGGTCATTTTAGTTTCTGACAGTGCTAATAGTATGTATTAGTTGTTGCTTATTCCCCCATCAGATGGAAATCAGCCTGTTCCATTAGCCCTCCATGAGCTTTGCCCTGTGAGGCACTCTAGCTCCTTTGAGCTATACAACAGCTACAGAAGTTTGGATCACTTAATCTGGTCCATCTGCCAAACAATGATTTCAGCATCCCTATCCAAGCATGCCTTTTAGACGAATACAGTAACATTTTCCTGTACGGAGAGCCAACTTCCTTACCACCAATGTGGCAGCAGTCTGACTGAGAGATAACAAATGCTCTAGAGGCTGCAGGAGGTCTTCAATGAATTAAACATGTGGTTTGCGTTATTATAATGCAGATTGTCTCCGCATTGCAAATACCACCTGGCATAGAGTTGTACTAAACACACGAAGTAGTTATGTTCCCCCGTACAGCTGAAGCAGTGTCATATCAAATAACAGAAAGGTAAAAAGGCCATTATTTTTAAGTGAAAAATAGATTTTCCCAATATGCAATTAGACAGATGCTCATGGAAATTTATAACGGGTGCCTATCTATCCTGGTCCTGCACCCTGTCAGGCCCCTGCACCCCTAACATCACTTAGCTGCTGCTTTTAGCTGCTGCTTTAGTCATGCTGGCAAAATTGCCGTTCTTGGAAAGCTGCACAGGGAGTCCTCTGTCCTTTGCCGGGTGTTACTGAAAGGCTGTAGCCGTGCAGCGGGTCTCACATACAAACATGAATAGGAGAAGTACAAACTTTTCTCTTTAGTATACATGCCACTTGAGTTCTCCATAGTTGTCTAGTGTCATGACCAGCTGCTTAGTTTGTATAGACAGCCCAGGCAATATGCTTAGCCATGAGTGCCACTAGTGATATTTGGACATAGCATTTGTTGCTACTGCTGCCTCTTTTTTTTCTTAGTTTTGACTGCTCCTACAAAGCCCTTTTCACTCATATTTCCTATGCTAAAGCTAGTAAGCTGCTTTCCACAGCAGTTACACCTTAACAGCCAACTTGTCACCTGTAAGGATGCTAGTTTCCTGACACCTTTGTTTCATTTATACAGATGGGTATGCATTTTTTGTCTTCTTGTTGTGCTTGAGGACAGTGGCTCACTGTACCATTAAAACATTCTCTCTCTCAAATTGTTTTCCTTAGCTAGGTTATATCTAGCACCTGTTGTTACCTTAACATTTGCAATAAGGTAATGACGATAGTTAAGCATAAGCTATATTTAAAACCTAGATGCTGAAGAGGGATGGTCAGTAGTTAAGTCACAGGGCTCAGAGGAGTTGGTTTTGTTCTTAGCTCTGTCAAAGTCCCTGAGCAAAGCCTGATTTTGGATCTGTGCCTTGTTTGTGAGATGGAAATATTACCTTGCCAAACACCAGTTTTGAGAAGTCAGCTGCTGATAGCCAATCCTCTTACAAAAAAAGGGGAGAAGGCCATGGGGAAAATCTGAGCTCTGGAGTAGTGTGTACAAATATATCTAGGACAATGAATAATTAATATGCAGAAATCCCTTAGGGAATGTAAGAGAAAATAATTATATTGTATCTTCTACAGAAGTTAAGGAGGCTCTCATATTAGGGCCATTTTTACAAGCAATGAACCTGAGACGCATTTTCAAAACAGGAAGAAAACAGTTACAGAACAGCAGAATGAAGTGCTGAACTGTGCTGTGCAATTTATCTTTTAAATCATTCTACCCTCAAATGACTGGAGGGTGGCAAATGGAGCACCAGTTTAGGAGAGGCTGCAGACATGATCTGAGGAACAGCAAATCACCTCGAGAGTGTTCTGTCAGGCAAATTGATAGGAACTGTAATGGGGGAGGGACTTTGCAAATATATAGAGGAACACAGTGAAGAATCTATTAGATTTCTTTGAAAGGGTCTATGAATATATATATGAATAATGTTAATTCAGTTGATAGAGTGTGTTTGGAATCTGCAAAAAGCTTTTGATCATATTCATCACCAAAGACTCAAAAAAACCCCCAATGTAACTGCCACAAGGCAGTAGCACAGATCCTGCCATGGACTTACAGCTGGTTAAAAGATGGGGGTAGAGCACAGGGTGACAGACCAGGACTGAAGGTTTCACAATGGAGGGAGATAATCCTGAGGGTCTCACAAGGAGCTGGGTTAAGACCTGAGCTGTTCAGCATGTTCGTAAATTATTTTTTAAAAAGGTGAATGTCAAAGTGTTTAAGCTCACAATACAATTTTTTGGGGCCAATCAAAACTAAAGCTGCCTGTGAAGAATGACAGTAGGAGTTCATGATATTGAATAGCTATGGGCGATAAAAGATCAAATGAAATCAGTGTCAACAATGCAAAGTAAGGCATGTAGGAAAGGTACACGGTGTCATATGTATGCAGTGATGATGATTCCCACTCAAGAAGGAGATCTAGAAGAGCTGTAATCTCCTGAACATAGCTCAGTGGTCAGCAGAGATCAGAAGGATACATGGTAGGAGCTATTAGGAAAGGAACTAGGGACAAAACAGAAACTGTGATTATGCCATGAAGGGCTTGCGTTTGAATACTAAGCACATTTTCAGTTCTCCCCATTCAAAAAAGGTAATAGAACTTGAAAAGTACACAGAAGAATAAAATAGAATAACAGAAGTAAGTAATGGCTTCTATACCAAGAGAGCTGAGGCAGACTAGGAATGGTGACAACTGAGGCAGTATTTCTGGTAATAAAAGCCTGTAAAATTATGAGGGAAAGATCATTTGCTGATTTCCAAGAACAAAACCAAGGCGATAGTGGATGATCAGGCAGCAGATTTAAAGCTAACAAAACCAACTCCTCAAAACCTCTCACTTTCTAACTAGTATGTGAGAGTCCTTGCCCTGAGATACCAAAAGTATCACTAGCTTTAAAGAAAGGAAAGGTAAATTCATGGTAAATAGCTCCAATACTGGCTATTAAACATAATACTCCATGCAACATCAGGTTCAAGATGTGTCTATCCCTAGTGTATTGGGAACCAGCTGAATAATACCCAGAGGAAAACCCTCTGTACTGTTTCTCATTGCTTTTCTCTAAGCAACTGCTGCTTGCCATCAGGCATGTGATATGAACTTTTCATTTGAACCTGTATGGCAGGTCATAAACTAATTGTCTTTTTAATTAAGCTGGCAGGTTGTATGCAGGCTTTCATAGAAAATAATTGGCATTTCTTTGCAACATTACACTTGGCAGCGTATCGCTTTATTTTTAGAATTCACTCATGTTTTCTTCATCTATTATCCCCAGGTCCTGACACCTTCATCACCCTGTCTTCAGTAGAAACTATTTTTAAATGTTCAGTTGTTGGAAAGCAGAACTTTCTAGACATGACAAATTTCGGAACTCTTATCCCCTGGTTTTACAAGTCTTAGACTGAAGCAATTATTAATCGGTATTAGAGAATGTTGCTCTTCACTTGCCTGCTGAGTTTGTTACTTGTTAGCTTTGTTGTTATTTGTCTAATTTTCAGCATTGAGCAAGTCCAAATAGAAGTATATAGAGCAATATATAAGGTAGTTTTGTCAGGTCATCAGAGAAAGTGTTCTTGGTAGTTTATTTATTAAGCCAATATATTTATTTGCAAGTTAGATGAGAGAGAGCATTTCTCGGTCTTCCAATTTGCTTTGTGTTGATTACAGGAACAAATACCTTTTACAGCATCAACTGCTCCCCCCAACCTATAACTGCACACAAGATATAAATGCTGGCTAAATGAAAGTAAGAGGGTTTAAGAATAAATTTCCATCAGGCTCAAAATGATTCATCCTACTAATCTTAAATACATGTCGCAGTAAGTTGGCACTGTATCTTATTCAGCTCCCTGCTTGTCTTTAAATCAAGAGCAACAGATTCCATTTTTGTCCTGGAATTTTGTATTAATCTACTGATAATGGTACTTTTCTGAAAAAAGATGCACAGAACTAATATCCATCAGCATATTAAAAAGAAGGCAATATGATACTGCAGAAAAAGATGAGTACCTCTGAATGGACAAAAAAGGAGAAGAAAACTGGCACTACCTACAGGAAGGTAGTTCCTTCCTGCAGGTAAAAGAGTAAATGTAGGGTTTTTTATGTGGGCTGATGTTAAGCAGTATAGAAGGATGCTTTGTGTTGCTCTAAGGAGTATTACAGGAATAAATTGTCACTGAATACTGCAAATTGTGTAAGACACAAGTATGATTTCATTCTGTTTTTAAATTTTTTCCCTCACAAGTAAACTCTTTCATTTGATTTAGGGGGGAAATGATATGAAATACTGATAAAAATCAAAGGATGGCAACATGTAAAAAAGTTGGATAGTCTACTCTTACTTTAAATAGTTTACCAATTAATATAATCCTTCCAGAACTACTGAAATCTTTATGCTTCTTTTAAAGAAGGGGTATAAAATACTGAACAAGCACTAACTGAACCTTAAGACAAAGCAGACAAAAGCAATGCATATGATGCAGTATTTTTGTTTCACAGAAAGATTGCTAGCATTTAAATCTATGACCATCAATGGCTGAAGTTTGCAGTATTTAAATAGTAAGATCACACAGGACTACAGGATACTGTGCTGGGGCTTTTAACTACTGTGGTTATAACCTCTGCTGAAGGAAAGTTGAACATGCTGCTAAGCCTGAGAACAATTTTTTTTTTTTTTTTTTAATAAATATATCAGTCTAATCCTGAGAACCCACCAGAGTAAACTGGATGATTTCCTCCGAAGGATTCCAAAATGGTGAGCCCCTGCATCTCAGTCAGCTGGAGGGATTTCCTGACAAGTTACTGTGCTCCCAGAGGAGCTGGATGCCTTAGGACATGAGGAGTGTTTCATCCACCGCTGAGGAACCAGTGAAAGCTGCCTATAGGAACCCTATGGTTAACGTGCAGCTCTTTGGTCTGCAGTGGTATCAGTCCCAAACATAGCATCAGTGAACATCTTAAACCATTTAAATAAAGAGTAGTATTGGAAGAGCCCGTGTCTGGCGTACATCTCATCCTCCAAACAAATGGAGTTTCAGCTAGGAACCAGCCTAGAAATGCAGGTGTTACAGGAAAGCATGAGATGTTTGATGACAAACTTAATGGCACAGTGAGAAACATCAGCAACAGAGAGCAGAATAGCCAGAATAAAATATAAAAGCATATGTATATCAATGTAGCTACTTAAAGATACAAAAATAACTCTTTCACACTCTGCTTGGCACCTGTTACCTCTTCCATATTTGTTTCCAGTTTCTTCACTTCATGCCCTTTAAGCTCAAGCTGTTCAGTTAGCTGTGTGATTCTCTCTGCAAGCTCCACAGGGGCTGTTTCGTAGCCATCAGTATTGGTGGTCTCCAAGTAAGACATTAGCTTTTTCCACATTTTTTCATCACATCTATATATACATTTAAAAAAAAAAAAAAGTTAGTGAAACCTCACAATGAAGGTCTATGTTTGTAAAGGCCAGTTTTCCTGCAAAACTCTTGGCAGCACAGATCACAAATTAGTGTCCTAGCTGACAGGGATTTGGGTTAGGTGGGAATATCCAGCATGTTGTTTCCCATGAGCTGTAAAGGATGCTTTTGCTATATAGTATTACTGCTTCTTACTGAAGCCAGGGTGCCTTCAGGTCATAAAATAACCTTTGCAAATGGCTTATATAGCATTAATCTCAGAAACCTACCCGCTGCCACAGCAAGGGAGCTTGGCCAGTATTTTCTTCATTTGGTCCACCTGGGGTGGCTGGTCTCCTGCCCACTTCTCCTCCTCTTCATCAGAGGCAGCCTGGCCCTCCACAGAGCGGAACAGCTGATCCCCTGCTCAACAAACCAACAACCGCTTAGCAACAAAACAACAGCCCTGATGTGCTGCAGCTGTGGCAACTTAAAGTCCTGAGACTGAGGCAGAAAGAAGTGAGATTTTAAAAACCCCAGGGAAACACAGTGCAGGGTCCTTCAGCATCTATAGAAAGGGACTTTAAAGGTAAGGGTAACGGAGCCTCAGCAAAGATCATTAATTTAAGTCTTGAAGAATTCAGCCCTCTCTTGCAGGTAACCTGTAGTTGTTTCACTTCAATTCTCTTCTTTCCTTTATATAACTCTAATGTAAGGATAAGTATGAAGGATCAGTGTGTTACTAGGGGGCGACTACTGTTCTCATATAAACTGAATATACACTTTTCAAGAGGAATGAAAAACTGGTTTACTGTGTAAGATTTTCTTCATACTCATTAAACCAGCTGAACATGTATTCAGAGTGCAGAAATTTGATATCAATGTTCTCTAATTCATTCCCTTACTGTTTTATAGGGACAGTGATTTTAATATACAAATGTGATATTAGTTGCATAGCTATCTAATGTTTAGTTATGTTTTTTTTACCTAAACCTAATGTCTCCTCACATGCCAAATACATTGTAAATGAACTGTCTACAGTATGTGTAAATATACGTGTACTATTACAGTAATATTTCAAGACCTTTTTAGCTGTATCTTATAAAAGCTATTGTGTTTAACTGCTTTTTATCACAAGAATATATTTACTGGGACTTAGAGGATTATTATGATGCTTGTAACTTACTGGGAGTCTTTTAAAGCAATGAGTACATGAAAAGCACCGGTCGCATCTTTATTCTGAACGCTTACTTTGAGTTGCTGTCAGGTTAGGCCAATGTCAACATGATTTAAAATTTGATAATTATTTACCTCAATCACTGACAGTTAATTAAACAGGTTTAATGAATTCCAACAGAGTGATCGAGTCAAATGCTGTTACTTCTTCCAGTATCAAAACACGCTTGACCCTAGGTAGCACTACAAGTGTTGTGCGTAGGTAATTCAGCAGAGGAAAGGGGGGCTCAACGGGGTGAATCACCCAGCAGAGACTCTCAGGTAAACGATTGTCTGTCTCATTTCAAGGACACAAGCACCTGCAGTTCAGGTGAAACCGCCGTTTCCAGCTGGCGCCCTTAGAAGGCCTCCGGTGCAGCGAGTCCCCGGCGCGGTGCCGGCCGCGCTGCCTGCCCTGCGGAGGGCGGTCGTGCTACACGCTCCTCCGCGACGCCCTTCGCGGCGGGGCTCAATCCTCGCTCAGGGCTGGTCTCAGCGACGAAGGGAAAATGGCCTCGCTTTTTTTCGTTTTGGTTAACACTCGGCATGTGTTTGTTAATGCAGTTGTCATTCCAGTAGCATTCGGTGTGCCTAATTTACAGCTATCGTGTTCGATAATCTATCACCTAAGCAGGAACAAAAGTTAGTGGCGTGCTGTATTGCTCTTTAATCAGAGAACGAATGTCTGTGTTTTCATGGCAATCCTTACACTGTACAAACTAATTTATTAGCAGCGATTTTTTTTCCGTGAGGCTGTGCACTGCCAAAACAAAGAAAAAGACTTTCTATTTTCAATCTGTGATACATTAGTAGTGATCATATATTTTCTTGCCATATGAACTCAAAGGGATAACAATCAGAGTTTACAACTGTTGTGGCAGCCGTGAGAACTGATCGCACGGCACTATGGATTCCTTGAAGAGCTCCAAACTGGAATGTTTAATCCAGTAAATTAATCGCAGCATCTGGCATAGCAGACATTCAGATTAGGTTTTTTTAAAATGGAGGAAAAGGCATGTGAATCTCAAGCGGTCTTCATGCTAAGATATTGAAGACACTTGTAATGCTTTCCCCCTGCTCTCTGGCATGTCCTCTGCTCTGACTGAATGTGTGTGCAACAGAGACTATCTTTTACATCCCCCTTGTAGTTTATGATTAGCAGGACTGAAAACCAGAGAGGAAAAGCAAAGCTTCTTATCCATCTCTTTTAACATAAAGCCAGTACTTTATTAAAATTCTTCTACTAAGCTAATATTTTAAAAAACATTCTGTCAGTAGAATTATTATTGTGATATTTTGGCATTAATTTGTAAACTAGCTAAGGTAGAATAACTTGCCCAATTCCATTGATGCAAGTGCTCTTCTGCTCTAAGAAATTAATATTTATTAAAGTATGTGTAAAAAAATTATAAATAATTCTGCATCTAGATTTATTATCTAGAATATCTAGGTTTATCCCAGATGTTCACACATTTTTTTTATTTGTTCAACTTTCTGAGTAATTTTTCTTTTCTGCCTCACACTTTTTATTTGATGGAACACTTTTTTCACACTTTAAAATCTATAAACCCATAATTTATTTGTTTGAAAAGCTTTTGCTAAAAAGCTGTTTGTACTTGAAATATGGGTAGTGTAGGTTAGACATGGAAACTGTCTTTGAGCCGGCTAAGCGTCTGATTTGATAAAAATATTTGTAAAAGCAGGTTTATTTTATAAGTCTAACCACATGGAGAACATGCTACAATGCTAATTGTAGTTATATGTCATTATTTGTCACAGTCCCAAGCAGCTGCTTGCCAGCTCCATTGAATACATACCTAAAATCTAATTTTTTGTCACTACATACAGCTCTCCAGTCTGCAGTAAAGATGCCTTGTTACTTACAGCTAGTGTCAGATAAGTGCTTTTGTCTTTGAAATAGATGTGTCCAAAAAAAAATTTTAAAAAATCACTGAAGGTAAGCCAAACTTGCCAAACTTTGCATTTGCTCTCTACTTGGCATGTAACCACCACCCAGGGGGAGGGGGAAGTTGTTTGGCTTCTAAGATGGCTATCATAAATGTGTCTTACCATTACAGCAGCTAAGTGACACATACACACACACACAAAAATAAAAAGTTGCCATCTCTTTGAGAGCCCTTGTAACTGTCTGCTCTACAAAAAGCCTAGTCGAGGTCATTGATAGTGAGAGCCAGCCTTGGCAAACCCAGTGGAGTTAGGAGACTTTCAAAGAATGCTTCATGCAGTCCCATGAGAAATCGCAAGTGTGCAATGTTATGGCAGTAGTTAGCATTATGTGTGCTAAACAGGTTGGACCTTTTCAGAGTTACTGAAGCAGCCAGGATGTTTCCAAAGAGTGTGACTGTACAGAATATTGACTGCAAATGGTTTCCTTGGAAATTATTTTAGCTGAAGTTCTGAGTTTTGATTCATAAAGAAATGAAAACTTCCTAGTTTTAAGCCAGAAAAAAGGTTTTGGTGAGGTGAATCCTATGGAAAAAAGCAGTTTTTAATCATAGCTCTAAGTGATATGTTCATTCTTTTAAACATAAAATTATGTGGGGAGTGAGAAGTAGAAAGCTGGGATATTACCTTTTATTTAGGTTTAGGATTTCAAGATTCATTAGGATTGGTTTGTGGCTTTGGTGGTTTAATATCTATACTAGTTTTCCTGCTGAGGATCTCACAGATCAGTGAGGAAATAAAGTAGTTGGGTACTGGGTTTGATACCATTCTCAGAAATCACAGCTCCGCCAGTGGGAGATCGTCGATCTTGTTGCACAACAGACAGGCAGTATCTTCCACCTGGTAAGGCTGCTCCCTCTTTCTGATCTGGGTTGCTTCTTGAGGGAAGCTGAAATCTCACAATTTCTGTCCTGGAAAAGAAGGGCAAAGTAAAGCGGACTTGTAGGAAATTTGAAAAACCAAGATAAATGTGAACGGCGTAGCACATGAATGACTTTGAATGCAGTTCAGACTTGCTATAGAAGAACAGGGTATCTACCTTCAGTGCCTGTAAAATTGAACCCCAGAGGGCTGCACTTGATTGCTTCACCAAGAATCAAAGGAAGGTGGATTTCAGCTGTTCTTTAGGTAATAAGAACTAAACATTACTTATAGCTTTTAGTTCAGGTCAAAGACATCTAGAAACTATGTATGGGAACAGCCATAAACTCTCCCACTGACAGTGATATGGCAGTGCATGCTTTGTTTTTACCATGGGCACCATAACACCATAGCTAAGGTAGCAAGTCTTGCATCTGGTCACTTGGACTGGTCCTCAGAAATGTCAGGCAGTTTTGATCTAAGTCTTCCAAGTACTGGAGATGAAGCAGTGTCAGAGACTGAAAAGTCAAAAAGAATAATACATAAACAGAGTGACACATCTGAAAACCAGTGAGTTATAGGTAAGAAGCATCTTGGCAATGGGCTTCTGAATTGCTGACAATCTTATTTGAAATCATGTGTTCTTCCGAGTGGAATGTAGAGGATATTACATCTATGTGTTTTAAAGGAAACAGCTTTCAAGGGATGGTACACAGATCAGATAATGTAACTGATGAATATGAGTCCTTAAACTTGCCAACAAAATATATTTTGAAAAAAGTAATTTAATTCAATGAAGGACAATGATTGTTCAGACTGAGGAATTTATAGTTACCTAAATGGACAGCACTGGGAAAGTACCTTCAAGGAAATTCAGGGTAGCACATGTTAGAGGAAAAATCCGGAATATATTTGCATGTAGTTGAGTTGAAAATGTCCTAACCCTATCAAGAAAAGACCTAAGCAGGTCAGACAGTACAAGTCATTCCGTGTAGTCAAATGGAAACTTTTACTGTACACGAAACAAAATCTAACAAATCTAATAACACAGATTTATTTTTCTAACAATCTAATAAAATATTACATTTTGCAAAGAATGGGAATGGAATGCGAAATGACAGTTGTGATGAGTCCATTGGAGTTACTACTCTCTTTTTATTGGAATACATTTGGTTTGGTTCAGTTTCGCTCTCCTACCTGCCGTTTCATAGGTATGTACTGAAAGACAGTATCGCTATTTTAGAGGAAATAGAATGGAAGTATGCAATACAGTTGAAGAAGAAAATTAATTCAGACACTCCTATTTACATACAAAATACTAAATAGAGTCTATGAAATTGAAAGGCAGCACATAATACTGAGTTTATTTTAGGAGTCTTGTTTTTTCACACAATATACATAATATGTAACTTAATTCCACAAAATGTTACTGAAATCAGAGCTATGAAGAATATAAGAAATTAGACTCTTATAATGTAGCAAGGAACTCAGAGTTACATTGCATAAATGGAAATTCAGCATATCAGTTAACACGTGTAAGGCTTATATCAAACATTCTCTGAGGTAGGAATAAGCTACCTCTCAGGTATGGAGCTAACTGGACACCAAGTCCAGTCCATTACAAGTTTATGGATGTTACATGTGTATGTTGTGTAATGTACTCTATAGGAAATGTATATTACATTTCTACTGCTTCCTTTTTTACTATTTAGAAAACAGTTTACTTTCAATAGTTACATCAGGATATTTTCCTATTAAACTGTATAATAACATGGTTATACTTTTCCCAGTAGGAGCTGTCATGTAGTTCACAAAGAATCTATACGCAGAAGCAAGCAAAGCAAATTCAGGAGTTTTATAGTAAATTAAGTTTCCTCCAAATTCTTCCTAAGATTATTTTTGGTCTGGTGAATATTGAATATTCCTTGTACTTAACAAATTAAATAGTCATCAACAAAAAGTGAGAGTTAAAACACTTAGCAAACTGGTCCTACTGAAACAAGTTGTATAACATGATCTTTTTGAACAAACCTTATAAGTACTTCCTGCCTGTAAATTCAACTACTGCTAGAAACAGGACTTTAGGTGTAGTAATAGAAAAGCTGATGCCAAGTTAGAGAGAAGTATTGCAGAGAGCTTTTGTTTAAACTAACACAGCTGCTGTCAGTTCCTGAAGAACCACACCAATATTAGTTCCCTTGTTGCTTGTGAAAGTATACTAAGTAAATAAGTTCATGAATTTAACAGCAGCAGCAGAAGTCAGATATTTCAAAATATCTGTCGGGACAGAAGCTGAGGTAAACAGTGCTTAGGAACCAGCACTTATTTTACCCCCTTGAGTAGACCTGACTGCATAAAAACTAATGACATATTTAATCTATAATTTATGGTATTATTTAGCTTAGCAACAACTGGATTTACTGTAAAGTCAAAGGAAATAGCGGTCTCCAGAATGGAGCCTTGTTAGTCATTTAGCTTCATTAGTTCTGGAAAAAATAATTAGGGAGTAGTGCACAAATAAAAAGCACTGTTAAGCTTGGGTATTCAAAATGAGGGCTCCTGGAAGCATCACAGAGCTTCAGTGTTCTGGACAGTTACTGTGGAATATAGTAGTATTTCCTTTCACAAGGATGTTGCAATTTATTTTTCAGGAATGTACTAATTTCCTTCATTTTAAGACAAAAATATTTTGGGGTCTGGTACTCAGTAAGAATCCTTTATAGTTTCTTGAGGACTGTAGCTGGTATTGTGCAGGTTGTTCTCTTAGTTTTGAGCTGCAGTATAATTTAGATCTGTTTGGATTTCAGAGATTTCTAGAGTTAGTTCACATAATAGAGATATTGACATTTCAGTGAATATTCATTGTAGTCTCAAACTTGGTTAAGATCTTAACCCATAAAACACTGAGAATATTCCAAGTATCATGAAAATCTTTTCTAGCAAAAGTGGGTAAAGACTGTGATGTTTAATGGGAGATCTGCTGGTGGTATTAACTTCTTACATCTGGCAGCCTGGTTTTAATTTAGCTTGCAGTCCAAGGAACATGAAGAAGTTTGGTGGAAAAAACCCAACCCTTCCCATTTAATTCAGGACTTACAATAGCAGACTCCCTCTACTTAGAAGAGATTCAAGACAGACCTAAATAATAGCTTTCACTTCACTGTAGTTCTTGTAAGGGAACTTATAATTAGTTGATGAAATACCAAGTACAAACTCTGATTATTCTATAGTAATTTTCTTGAGAGGACTTCATCAGCTCTCTCTTGGTGTGGAGAAGTTAAGGGAGCCATACAGACAGCATGTTTTGTTACGTCTTTCTGCCCAATACATTGATTAAAGACAGCCATGGCTGTCTTCTCTGGAGATGTTCATCTGGGAAACTAGAAAGAAATGTTAGTTTTCAGCAAGGGCTTTCAGACCCAGGTGCTGCAGAATTTAAATCTTCATTCTGGCACAGGCTCTATCATTTGCATCAAATTGCCTTGTGCCTTAGTTTCCCCAACAGAAGAAATACAGCAAAGTTAGAGTACCTTACACCCTGTCCTGGTTTCAGCTGGGATAGAGTTAATTTTCTTCTTACTAGCTGGTACAGCATGTTTTGGATTTAGTGTGAGAATAATGTTGCTAAAACACTGATAGTTTAGTTGTTGCTAAGTAGCACTTAGCCTGAGTTAAGGATTTTTCAGTTTCCCATGCTGTGCCAGCAAGCAGGTGCACAAGAAGCTGGGAGGGAGCACAGCCAGGACAGCTGACCCAAACTAGCCAAAGGGATATTCCATCCCATGGAACGTCATGGTCAGTACAGAAACCGGGGCGTTGGGTGGGAGGGGCGGATCGCTGCTCGGGCATCGGTCAGTGGGTGGTGAGCAATTGCATTGGACATCACTTATATCTTCTTGGGCTTTTTTCCTCTCTCTTTTTTTTTTATTCCTTTTCATTACTATAATTATTATTATATTTTTATTATTATTTTATTTTACTGTAGTTATTAAACTGTTCTTATCTCAACCCATGAGTTTTACTTCTTTTTTTCGATTCTCTTCTCATCCCACTGGGAGCTGGGAGGAGTGAGCAATTGCCTGCGTGGTGCTTAGTGCTGGCTGGGGTTAAACCATGACACGCCGTAAGTAAGAAGGCAGCACAGGTGAGGACACAGCCTTATTTTCTAGAACCACACATGGAAATTATTTCAAGGTGTTTAGGAATGGGGCAGATTTTAAATGTGCGCGAAGGAACATGTGGCCAGACAAGCTGGAATTTCAGAGCTCATCCATGCCAGATAAAAATGAAGGGGGGGGAGGGGGGGGAAGGCAAGCAGCAGCATGAGTAGATATGGAAATTTAAAAAAAAAACCAAGAGATTTTATATTTTATCAGCTAATATGTAAGGACCTGTTGGAAATAACAAAACTGGAAATTTGTTGGTTTGGTATGTCTTGCCAGGAGTCCAGTATAATGTGATGCTGGGCACTGGTTTATTCATGGTAGTGACAAGGGAATGTGGCAGGAAAGAACAGGACCAACAGCCTCGTGACAGAGGTAAAGGGGAGTGTCCTGCTCAATAGAGTGCCAAAGAGGGATGTATAAACACAGCTGGTTTTCATTCATGTCATCCAAAAACAATTTAAGGCAATAATCTGCCAAGTTTGGTGCCAAAGATCAGGAGGCGGAGCTAGATATCTTTTTGGCTATACAGAAATTGTGAGGGGGTGGGGAGAAGGCGGCTGCTAATACTGTTCCTGTAGCTGCAAGGGAAAACCTACCATTCCTTTAAACTATAATTAGAAACTAAACATGAGATAGGTTGAAGAAGGTTCTAATCAGAAATGTTGCACGGAACTAGAAAAATAGCATTAAGGATACTAATGAATCTTTGTGTCTATTGGAAGAAAGGGGCCATTTTCTTCTTTTAATTTTGCCATCAATATAGGATCCTACATTCACTTTGGAGGATATTTCAAATTTCTGACTGGATTTTCTCTGGTTTTTGGTCTTTAAAGCAGATGCAACCAAACAGTAGAGAAGGTTTAATTTCTTAGGGTTGCTTCATG